TTAAAATGCATTTGTTAGGTAGAGGTTTACACACACTTATAAGAAATGCTTTATTCCCCACTCCAACAAATGTGGGATCTCACAATCCACCCCCTTGGGGACCTAGTGTCCTCGCTGACACACCACCCGGTGTCCGACTCTAATACCATTTGTAGCAGCCTAAACTCACCACTAATAAATATTGTCCGATTTGACCCGTTACGTATGATCGTTCAACCTCACGATTTTAAACCGCGTCTGCTAGGAAGAAATGTTTTGTTCCTCTCTACAACCGATGTAGGATCTCACAATTACGTTTTTGGTTTGGATTTAGTTTTAGGATTTATACAAGCATGGTTTAGGAGTATGCAATGGATCAACGAAGTGGGCATGTAGGCTTGTTCATGGCATTCCAAAGAGAACTTGGGTGTTAGGAGGAGATAATATTATTATACTGCTTGGTCTCTACGCAAGTGGATGGTTTCATGTTGATGGTTTCTTGATGTGGCAGGTTCCTTGACAATCAAGGTCTTTGTGGCCGGCAAGTGAACAAGCCCTGCCGGACCTCACTCGGATTTCCTGCTGTCTTACCACATGCTGAAAGTGATGAAGCTGCAGGCAATTTCTCATTTCACTTTAAAGAACTTATTACCACAATCATATTGCAATCAGATGAATCAGCGACCTTGTTTTCTTCAAAAGAATGGGATACTAATTTTGTTTTTTTATGTTACAGTTCCTGCAAAACGATCCTCTCATTACTTGAAGGGACTGTTGATTGGTGCCATATCGACAGCCGGGTTCGTGTTGGTCGTATTTATAGTGTTCATGTGGACTCGTTTGCTGTCAAAGAAAGAAAGAGCTGCAAAGAGTTACATGGAAGTTAAGAAGCAAAGAAACTACGAACCAAGTGAGCTATTGGGTTTATTTAAATCTGGTTCTTCTAATTTTATCTCAAAATACATGACGCAATTGACAACCCTCACAACACAATGCAGGTGAGAAGCTTATTACATTCCATGGCAATCTACCGTATCCAACATGTGAGATCATAGAGAAGCTGGAGGGCCTGAATGAGACACATGTTATTGGCTCGGGCGGATTAGGCACTGTGTATCGGATGGTCATGAATGATCGTGGAACATTTGCTGTAAAGAAAATTGATAGGACTCAGGATGGTTCAGAGCTTGTTGAAAGAGAATTGGAGATTTTGGGAAGCATTAAACACATAAACTTAGTGAAATTGCGTGGCTATTGCAGGCTTCCTTCTTCAAAGCTTCTGATATATGATTATCTGACGGAGGGTAGCTTGGATGATTTCTTGCATGGTATCATTTTCTTAACCTTGACCCGCCGATAGATATTGTCCTCTTTAGACTTTTTCTTGAAGGGTTTCCCTCCAAGTTTTATAATGCGTCTGTTAAGGAGAGGTTTCCATACCCTTCTATAAGGAATGCTTCGTTCCCTGCACCCATCGATGTGGGCTCTCACAATCCATCCCTTGAGGGCTTAATGTCCTCATTGGCGCACCGTTTTAGCTTTGATATCATTTGTGAGATTCCATATCGGTTGGAGAGGGGAACAAAATCGGAGAGGTGATATCTTGAGTATGAAACTCTAGAAAGTGGAAGCTTTATTGTTCTTTTCAATTCGTTGTAATGTTATGTTTTCATTATTTGCAGAACATGGAGCAGGAAAGTGTTTGGATTGGAGTGCTCGGTTAAACATAGCGCTCGGCACCGCTCGAGGACTGGCATACTTGCACCATGATTGCTGTCCAAAGATTGTGCACTGCAACATAAAATCCAGCAACATTCTTCTTGACGAGAACTTAGAGGCGCACGTAGCTGACTTTGGTCTTGCAAAGCTTTCAGTTGATGGGGATTCCCATATCACACCAGTTGTTGCTGGCACATTTGGTTATCTGGCTCCAGGTCCAATTTCCTCTATCGTTCTTATAAGCAACAATGGCGATTCAACTTCAATTCTGAAATTATAACTAAATGTTCTTGAGCAGAATACTTGCAAAGTGGGATAGGAACTGAGAACTCTGATGTTTATAGCTTTGGAGTGCTGTTGCTGGAGCTTGTAACAGGGAAGAGACCAAGTGATGCATTTTTCTCAAAGAGGGGCCTAAATGTTGTTGGTTGGGTAAGCTAATCTCTGCACCATTTTCAAGTTCTTGCATTTTTTCAACCTCTAAATATGAGTATGGTCTTATAGTTGAACACCCTGAGAGGAGAAGACCAATTGGAGAACATAGTGGATAATAGGTGCAAGAATGCAGATGTGGAAACATTAGAAGTGATTCTCGAAATAGCGGCGAGGTGCACTAATGGCAACCCGGCTATGCGGCCTACAATGAACCAAGTACTGCAGCTGCTAGAGCGAGAGGTTATGTCGCCCTGCCCGAGCGATTACTCCGAGTCTCACTCGGATTATTCATGAATGTAAGCAACTTTGAGGTCTAACAAAGTTCCCTTCAAATAGTTTTCATCAACCCACGTTGTTGTTGGGAGGGAGTTGAGTTTCATGGAAGTTTCTTCGGTCTATTCATGACAGTTCCTGTGATTTTGGGTTTACTTCTTATTTGCCTCGTGTGTGTTGTCCCCCACCCCCTTCCCCCGACTTCTTCCTCTGGCGATGGTTCTTTTGACTGAGGGATGGCTTTACGTGCTGCAACAAGTGCAGTGCTATCCCTGTCTCAGCGATGCCCAAATGCACAATCGACTCCCAACCTTGTAAGATGAATCATGTAGTCGCTCCACAATAACGGCAAGCAATGACACGGTCGTACATAACAAAATGTGGCAAAGTCTTCGGGTTGAATGTATTCCTCCAATCAACCAACCTCAGATTTCACAATCCATCTCCTTTGACGCCGTCGTCCTATCTTATACTATTTGGATGGCTTATCTTATACTATTTGACTCAGTTCCTAGCTCATACTATTTCTTATACTATTTGACTCAGTTCCTAGCTTATACTATTTTGGCTCGATACATCACATTCGCTTATACTATTTTGGCTCAGTATATATCTCATTCTTATCTTAGCTTAGTACATATTACATTCATATTTTGACTTCACATTCCTATTTTGTCTCAGTATATAACACATTCCTATTTTATCTCCGTACATATCACATTCCTATTTTAGCTTAGTACATATCACATTCCTATTTTAGCTTAGTACATATCACATTCCACATTCCTATTTTGGCTTAGTACATATCACATTTGTTTCTCTCTCAAACCGATTGGAATCTCACCATCCACCTCCTTTGGGGCCACCCTTCTAGGCTTTGATACCATTCAATTCAAGCCAAATGACCTACTAGTGAAAAGTTTCTACTATGTATCTTGGCTCAGTACATATTACATTCGTTTCTCTCTCAAACCGACTGGGATCTCACGATCCACCTCCTTTGGGGCCACCCTCCTAGGCTTAGATACCATTCAATTCAAGCCAAATGATCTACTAGTGAAAAGTTTCTACTATGTATCTTGGCTCAGTACATATCACATTCGTTTCTCTCTCAAACCGACTAGGATCTCACCATCCATCTCCTTTGGGGCCACCCTCCTAAGCTTCTTTGGGGCCACCCTCCTAAGCTTTGATACCATTCCGTTCAAGCCACAAATGATCTATTATTGAAAAGTTTCTTCGATTCGTTCTTTTTTTTCTTCAAATGTGTATTTATTATTGACACTGAAGAAGAAAAAAAAACCGAAAAAACGAGAAATTGCATCGAAAGAGATAAAGAGTTGGAAAAAGAAAAAGTTATTGAAAGGCCGTCAAATCGCAGCAATCTTTACAACTCATGGCAATTATCTGTATAATTATTACCGTAATGCAACATTATCTTAATCATGGCTTTAGGACAATTGGAGTTGTCTAAGAAGCTAGGATCACACATTATAGATAAACCCCCACCCCCACCCCCCTCAGTCAAGCCTTCGTGGAATACCTGGTAGAGATCACCATTCACAATGTCGCAGTCCACGTCCAGGCCGCTCAAACTTGAAGGCAAAGTAGCTATTGTCACCGGCGGAGCAAGCGGCATCGGCGAGTCCACCGTACGTCTGTTCGCCGACAACGGCGTCAAAGTAGTCGTAATCGCCGATATCCAAGACGACCGAGGACGCCAAGTTGCCGAATCGATCGGCAGCCAAAGGTGTAGCTACATCCGCTGCGACGTAACGGACGAAAATCAAGTGCAATCAATGGTGGAATCAACGGTGAAAAAGTACGGAAAATTGGACGTGATGTTCAGCAACGCAGGAGTATTAAGCAGCCAAGACCAAACCATCCTGGACCTGGATCTCTCAGCCTCAGACAAACTGTTCGAGGTGAACGTGAAGGGGATGGCGGCGTGCGTGAAGCACGCGGCTAGGGCGATGGTTGAAGGGGGAGTAAGAGGGAGCATCGTGTGCACGGGGAGTGTGGCGGCAGCGAACGGGAGTAGACGGAGGACGGACTACTGTATGTCGAAGCACGCAGTGTTAGGGTTGGTGCGATCGGCGAGCGTGCAGCTTGGAGGGAAGGGAATAAGGGTGAATTGCGTGTCGCCGAGTGGGGTAGCGACGGCGGCGACATGTAGGTCGCTGGGAATGGGAATGGAGGACGTCGAGAAAGCGTACAGAGGAATGTCGAGGCTGGAAGGTGTAGCGTTGAAGGCGAGTCATGTCGCTGACGCTGTGCTCTTCCTCGCTTCCGATGACTCAGCCTTTGTCACGGGCCATGACCTTGTGGTCGACGGTAGTTTCGTCCCTGTCCTTTAATTTATTGGGCCTTTCGGCCTGCTTTCTCATCCAATTGGGCCTAAATTATGAATAAGTAGCAGGCCCATATCTTCATACTTGGCCCAAGGTTATTAATGGAAGCATAATTAGTCAACTAAACTCAATTAGATAATGAATATTGACTAAACCGCAATTTAATTTTTTTTTTTGGTTAAGTATATTAATTAATTAGCGTTGTTGTTTTTAGGTTAATTAATAAAAGTGTATTTATATTAAAAGAGGAAATAAATAAATAAATAAATAAAGAAGGGGTGTTTTTGTAATTCAACAAGTGGGTTGTTGATTATAGAAACGTGGAAAATGATATTCACGGCATGAAAGTCAACTCGGACATTAGATATTTGTATATAGTTTTAAAAATGAAATAATAATAATAATAGAAAAATGGAAAGATAGTTTGTTGGTCAATTATAGTGTCTGAAACTGAAGTTTGTGAAGTGAAATACGCAATGGTACAAGGCATGTTGGTATATAACAAATATTTGGTCAACATATGATGATTAGGATTACGTTAAGTAATAGATCCAACAATGTCAACCATTTCAAAAGCATAGACCAGCATGGAGAAGTAATTAAGAGTTGAATCTCAGTTTTGTTCTTAAAAACAAAGGGGGGAGTGGTCAAACACTGCTGCTCTCTCTTATGTTATTATAATTACACGTAAGTTTTGAAGAGATAGAGACAGAGAAACATCAAAAGGAGCTCAAGAAGAAGAAGAAGAAGAAGAAGAAAGAGGGTTTGGTTTGATGGAGGCTGACGCTTTGCCAACCACAGCTGGAGGAGACGAAGAAGCTGCGCCCAAACAAGATGTAATGATCTCTCTTTCGATCTATTGTTTTTCAAACTTCTTGTTCATCTTGTGGGATCGATGGCTAGACTCCCAACGGCGGCGCCGCTGTTGGGTTTTTCATGGAAAAACCAATCAAAATTTCATGTTTCATGTTTCAACTTTCTCTAGAATGGAATCTTTTGTGTTTTTGTTTTTGCATATTTGTCGGTGATGATCGTATTGTAAATTAAGTTTGTGATGAAAAGTAGGTTGATGCTTCAATTATTTTAGTTTATAACCCTTTTGGTTCATCTTTCATCATACATGATACATGATTCATAATCATTTACGTATGAAAGGCTTGTTTAACATTATTTTGAGATGTGATGTTATTGTCATTTTATATTTGATTGGAGTTATTGTCATAAAAGAGAGATTTTGTAGTGTGAATTTCTTCTCTCTAAACCATATAAATCTTTGTCTTTTTATTTGATTTTTGTTTATGGGTGCGTGAGTGTGAATGTAAATGCGAACGATCTCACCTCTGCTTCCACTGCGACAATTGGGTTTACACCCTATCAAATCAATATGCATGTAGTTTAGTTCTAAAAAAACATGTTTTTTTTAATGGACAGGATGAGCAGCACGATGAAGAAAGAATCAAAAGAACGAAAGCTGAAATGAGGGAAGTAAGGGAAGAAAACGAGAGGCTGAAGAAACGTTTGGATGAAACAATGAAGAATTACGAGACACTGAAAAGGCAGGTCCATCAAATGGGTCAAATCAGAGCAGCAAAAAAGTCAACACAAACAAGTGCAATTGGCATACGTAACGATGAGGTTGAAGAAATGGACCAAATGGTTTCACTCACATTAGGAAGAAGATTATTCAGCAACATTTCCTCACCAACAAAATCAGATCCTCAAAACGTGGGCTTTCTGGGTTTGCCGGCGCCCCCCACCGGAGAAGATGAAGTTTCTCGTCAGAATCCTCCCAAGAAACCTAGGGTTTCTGTGAGAGCCCGGTGTGATGCCCCGGTTAGTCGTCCTAAAACTTAGTTGCACATGTCTTTGGTTCATGACCTACACTTTTCATTTGGTTTATATGTGTCGTAAAATTTTCATTCTCATTCCTTGATTCCAGTTGGTGCAGATGAACGATGGATGCCAATGGAGGAAATACGGGCAGAAGACAGCAAAAGGAAATCCTTGCCCTAGAGCTTATTATCGTTGCACAGGTGCACCCTCATGTCCCGTTAGGAAACAGGTAACTCTATTATAACATTTATTCTAGCTATAAAAAACGCTATAAAAAGTCATAGACTTTTAATAGTATAAGTTGCAATATCGTTTTTCGTATTCGATCCAATCCATTATTTGATGGAGGTAGAAATTATTTCATAAAAAAGGAGTGTTTATATATGAAAATGTGCAGGTGCAAAGGAGTGTTGATGATATTTCCATACTAATCACCACCTATGAAGGAACTCACAACCATCCTCTACCTGTTTCAGCCATGGCCATGGCTTCCACCACCTCGGCTGCTGCCTCGATGCTCCTCTCGGGCCCTTCTTCATTCGCCACCGCTGCGGCGGATCTCCATGGATTGAACTCGTATCTCTCTAACAACACAAATTCAAAGGGATTCTACTTGCCAAACTCTTCAATGCTATCTTCTTCTCTCAACCATCCCACAATCACTTTAGACCTCACTTCAAACTCTCCCTCAGCTAATTATCCCCCAAAGTTTCCTCTTGATTTTGGCTCTTCTCAATACAGCTTCATGCCTTGGAACAATAGTAACAGTGGCTATGGCTATGGCAATGCCAGTCAAGCCGGTCATCAACAATTTTCCAAATCTTCAACTCCGCCCCCGCCATTGTCGTCACCTCTACCTGACACGATTGCGGCAGCAACTAAGGTGATTACGTCCGACCCGAATTTCCATTCGGCATTGGCAGCTGCCCTGAGCTCGATCATCGGCGGCGGGAATGGGAGCAAGACAGCTCCTCCAATGGCTAGCTATGTTGAAGAACCTCAGGGAAATGTGTGTGCATCAAGTTTAAGCTCTCAACAAGGTAGTATGGGATTTGAGGCAGCTAAATCATTATCATGCTCCACCTCCAAGAGTCCTTCCTCATCTCCTGGGGATAGTAGAGAAAATGGCAAGTGAAAATGCATGGATGATGAAATATTCAACGTAATGACATTTGTAAATAACTCATCCGTATAATAGCCAGAATAGCCAGGGACCAAGAACATCAAACTTCTTCCTACCATACACATTTTTAGAACCATGAGGCTGATAGTAATTGACCACCAAAATAGATAATATTTGTTAGTAGTGACTCGAGAGGTTACAATTGGGCAGCTTGTCCTTTTAATATTTTTATAGGGTAGTTTGTCCTTTTATTCATTCTTTACACTTCACCATGCCCCACCAGCTGCAAGATCATCTCAGAAATCAAGCAAGCTTACATCGTTGGCTTCGGGAAGATAGAAAAAGGGTGAGAGGCATGTCATGGACAAGCACATATTTAAGAGTGTTTAAAATCATTATCAGAGAACATTGATTCTATAAATTCCAAGCTGAAACACTTTAAAAACAATGGATCAACTATCAAAGATTTCAATACAATTGATGACAGTAATACCTCCTGTATATGTATCTAGCAAGAGAGGACACGACTTAGAAACTATTATGTTTATGACAAGAAGAAAGCACACACCACAGGCTGACACTTTCACTTCATCTCTCCTGTACTTGAAAGAAATCACCCTACTTCAAAACACACACAAACTATTAAGACAGGGACAAAACACTAGAATCTTCTTCATATCACTTCTTCTGTCGATGTCACTTCAATTGGTGGAGACTCCTGTAAGGACAAGAGAGAGAGAGAGAGAGAGAAAAAAAAAGAAAAAAAGAAAAAAAAAAGGCAAGAGTTCATCATGATGCGACGAATTGGATTAAAGATGTGTTGTGGACCTTGAGGTTAAAAGAAATACCAAATTTTCTTTGTTTGATTGCACTGAATCTTCTTCAGGGCTCGTGCTGCCTGGAGCTGCAGATAAATATAAAATATCAATCTGTTAAATTGTTGCAAATGATTGAAATAAAATGATTTTCTTGCACTCACCCTTGTCGCTGAGCTGTTTCTTTCCATGTTTCTTGGCCTTTTCCTTTACTTGAATGGGTTCTTGCTTGTTTGGCTTATGAGGCTGTTTCTTCACAGATCTTTTCGCTGTCTCTGAAGTTGAATTTGGGGCAGCATTTTTATTCCACAATCCCCTATTCGTGGGTGTAGTAGTAAGATTTCTCTGCTTGACCCCAGTGACCGGGGTAGTAGTTTTGTTGACATCGGTGTTCAAGGATTTTGGTTTAAGTTTCCTAGGCTCCACTGTGGATGAAGAGCTATGAACTTCCTCATCTGAAGACCTTGTTCCCAATTCAGGTCCCTGAGAAGAAAAGGTTTCAGAATCCTGCAGTTGCTCTGTGTCTTCTGCTGAATTGTAGTTTTCAAGCAAATCTTTCACTGTTTGTTCACTTTCATCAAGGTTGCAACGATCTATGTAGGACTTTAGTTCCTCACGCATCCGATGAAGAGGCTGGTTTTATATTTCATAATTACAGAGCGACGAAAAATTTAAGAACTAGTAAAGGGTTAACTAAAAGAACAGCTTTCATAATTACTAGAGGAGCCAACATCAGTAATCCGAAAATTTCAGACTCAAACAGAGCAAGGCAAAATTTAAGAAAACAGAATTATTACCTTGCACCCTGCCTCCAATGCAAGTTTAAAAAATCCAAGCGACACAGAATGCTTAGAAGCAGCTTCAGAGAGCTTGATCTGTGATAGCCAATATGATGTAGAAGACAATAGGTTGAATCTTTTCTTGCTTGACCGTGAAACATCAGAAACAGGTGTGTCACTTTTCCCCTGGCTTCTGGCAGTCCTCCGGACCTCTGATATTGGCGTAATGTTGCCAACTAATTTTCGAGTTGGGCTTACATTTTTAGTTGGAATAGACAGCCTTCTTGGTGGTTTAGCATATTTGTCCTTGGCAGACAGGTCAAGGACTCCAACACTTTTACTCACACTGGACACAGATCTTCCCCTGAACTCGAATCAAAGAACAATTAATCTCTAGTGCTTTAAACAGGGAAGAATTTGGAATTAATGACGAACAGAGCAGTTAGATACTGCACAAAGTTCTGTTGAAGATCCAGACAGTAACTAGAAACGAAAAGAAGATTCAGACTACGCAATTTCCAATGTATATCTCTGAGAGAAGAACATAGATAGACCAAAAAAGGAAAGTACTACGGAAAAAAAGTGCATTGAAAATGAAACATTGTTCTACTAGTATGCAGGCCACAGCAATGACATATCCAAAAGGCAAATCAAATAGAATTTTAAAAAAAAAAAAACGTCAAATATAAAAGGAAATAAAACAGGCAATTGTGATTGTTTCTTGGATCATGTATTAATTCAGGTTCAGCAGATTACTGTAAAGTTGCATTTCTAAATCTTATGAAAAAATTTCACGTTCCTTCCACTCATTAAAAGAGTAAGCTTCTCTCTCTCAATCTCTTCCAACATTCATTCTAACTATTAGAAACGAATATATAAATGAGGGAAGTTCTTATTATGATCACAGAACAGCTATTTGAGAGTATAATCAAGCATGATCAACGGAAATTACAGTAAAATCAGAAGATTCGTCTCAACAGAAAGATTTGAAAAGTGATGATCCACAGAAGGCTTCAAAATATCTAATCAATTAACAGATAAACATCCTCAGTGAGAAATCAGAGAAGTAAACAGAAGAAAGCACCTCCTAGAAGCAGAAGAAGGAGGATTCGACATTTCACGCACAGGAGGCTTCTCCTCCTTCGACTTGGTCCCCGATCGCAAAGTATAGCGCTGAAGCTTCGGTCTCGCTGAATTTCCTAACTCATTCAAACCACAAAAGTTCAGTAAAAAAAAAAGAAAAAAGGAAATAGAAATTTACAAGGAGATTCAGCAAATCAAACCAGGAAGTGGAGTGGATTGCTGCTCCTTGATGGATTCTTCCATGGCTCTGTTAATCAGGGATTGAAAAGTAGAATTTTCCGCTCTCTCTCCCCCGCTCCGATTGAAAACGACAATGATTCTAGTTGGTATACACAAATCCTTGCGGTGAGTGGAGCTGTTGGAATGGGGAATTTATAGTCAAATTCAGAAAATGAAATAAACAGTAAAAAAGGAATTAGGCGGGAAAGTATGGAAACTGTCGTCCATATCTTAAACTCAAATATTTCATGTATGTACTCGCGCTGTGGAAGCGACACGTGTAAATGTTCGAGTAAACGCTGGTTATAAAACGTTAATGATGACACGTGGAGGAGGATTAAGAGAGGAATTAAAATTCCTAACCGCGGCGCGGGAATAAAGAAGAAAACGGACGGTGGTGATGAAGAAAGGAAGGTGTCGAACGGCTACCTGACCTGCCCCACTGCGACTTGTTGATGCTTAAAGAGAAAAGGTCAAAAACATACGCTCACAAATTCGAATTTCAAATTTAAAATTATAAGCCGTTGAGATTGAAACCGTGGCTTTGCGGTTGATGCGAAGATGAGCTCTGTCTAATGGGCCTCCTCTGGGCTTGACTAGTGGACTGACCTCTTGGGATGCGGACCCCTCAGGTTGTGTGGCCCATCTCCCACTCTGCAACCCACTCACTCATGGCCCACCTATTCCACCAAAGTTCCAATCATCTCATTTTGGACTCTTTTAGAACAAACTATACTTTAAAATACACATTCAAATATGAAGTATTAAGTGTAAAATTTACAAATATACTATGCCCATACTGAAAGCAGGAGAAAGGGCAAAACGACGTCGTCTCGGGTCAAGTTGATCTCAATGAGAGGGATCTTGCACGTTAGGTAGCATGCTATGGGAACAATTCACAGGAAGAGAGCACCTACTCTTCTATGGAAGACTGAAGAATCTACGAGGCCCGACACTATAGCACTCTTATTTCATTATGGTTCGATGAGTTTCTCAGGTGTTAGAGTTTAGGGTTGGAGAGAGTGTGCGAACTTCTCCATAATAAGCCAAAGCGGACAATATATTTTTAACGGTGGGGTTGAGCTGTTACACTAGGTAACGATCACCCACAAAATTCAAATTATATATCAATCATTCAAATAAATGTGGTCTAAATATTGCAATTCGGGTTTTACTACAAATTTGCAATCTTAAACCCTAAAATCTAATCTATGTATATGATATGGAGTTCTTATCCATAAACAATAACATTTATGGTAAATTAGTAAATGGAATTTTGAAAGAAAGATGTGAAACAATCCAAAAAAAAAATTAATAACATGTTTGGAATAATAGCTTTTGTATAAATAACTTAAAATGCGGTTTAATTAAACTCGGGAAATTAATCCAAAATCAGGTACGCCCTGTTTCATTTATGGCAACAACAACGTATATGGCTAGAACAGATGGAAAAAAACCAGGAAGAATAGGTCAGATTGGATTGGAATCGAAGAAAAATAGAAACAAAGACTCAAAACTTGATTTAGTTTCTATCTCAATCCACAAAATAGTAAAGAAAATCAGCAAATCACCAACAAACTTATCCAAAATTGGATGAATCGCTGTATATAAACATCCTGAGAGCTTCGTTTCACCCAATCAGCACATCATTTCTCCCCTTCGAACACACAGGAAGGGAAAATGGCGAAACTTCTCCCATTGATCCTTCTCTCAGTTTTTGCAGCCATTGGGTTTGTTCATGGAAACGAAGTTGGCATTTACGAATTGAGAAGGGGAGATTTTTCTATTAAGCTCACCAATTATGGTGCAACCATTCTCTCTGTTATCCTCCCTGATAAAAAGGGTTCGTTGGGTTCTGATTCAGACCATTCATTGCATTCAAACTTTATGATATTGTTCATGTTTTTTGTTGTGTTTTTTGATTTGTTGTAGGGAAGTTGGACGACGTTGTTCTTTCTTTCCCATCGGTTGATGACTTTAAAGTGAGACAATTCTGTTCTTTTGTGGGTCATTTTCTTGTAGGGAAATGAATGGAGGGGTTGATTTTGTTTTGCTTGTTTTGGCAGAGTGATCGAACCTACTTTGGGAACATTGTTGGACGTGTGGCGAATAGAATCGGAGGAGCTCAGTTTGGTATCGATGGCGTTTTTTATAAACTCATTCCTAATGATGGAAAGAACCTGCTCCATGGTCTCTGTTCTCTCATTTTCCTCTTCTTTCAACATTTTTATGTGTTGCGATCAAATTCATTGATAATTTTGATTTTGTGGCTGTTAAGGTGGGGTGAAAGGGTTTGGAGATGTGATATGGAAGGTGGAGAGTTATGAGAACGACAGCCACATTACATTCACCCACGACAGTTTCGATGGCGAACAAGGGTTTCCCGGCGATCTGCCGGTGTCAGTAACCTACATGTTGATCGATACCAACAAATTGGGAGTAAAAATGGAAGCCAAGCCCTCAAACAAACCAACCCCAGTAAACATTGCCCAACATGCTTACTGGAACCTAGACGGGCATTCGAGCGGCGACATTCTGTCACACAAAATCAAACTCTTTGCCTCAAAGATTACTCCCGTCGACGGCGAGCTCATTCCCACCGGCGAAATCGTCCCCGTTGCAGGAACCCCTTTTGATTTCTTAACCCCACGAGAGATCGGGTCGCAGATTAAGAATGTCCCCGGCGGATACGACATCAACTACGTGGTGGACGACACAGGGAGCGAGCATTTCAAGAAGGTGGCAGAGGTTTGGGGGAGTGTGTCGGGGAGGAAGATGGAGCTGTGGAGTAACCAGCCGGGGGTTCAGTTTTACACTGGGAATCAGCTGAAAGAGGTGAAGGGGAAAGATGGGGCTGTGTACAAGGAATATGCAGGGTTGTGCTTGGAGACTCAGGGGTTCCCGGATTCAGTGAACCATCCTAACTTTCCGTCGCAGATTGTGACCCCGGGGCAGAGTTACATGCATGCTATGGTTTATAGGTTCACCACTCATTCTGACTGAGGCCCTTTTCTGCTTTGATTTGGATTCATGTTTTTTCAATTCTTAAGTTTGAACCCTGTTTCAACTTTTTCTTTACTCTTAACATGGGATGGCTTCTATATAAAATTCTTTTCGTTTCACTTTTAACTCTACTTTTTTTTTTTTATCTATAACACAGTTCTTAATATTTGTAAGTAAATCAATTCATGAGGAAAAAAAAAAAAACAACAAGAACCCAACCTCTAGTGTTTTAATGTAGGCTCGATATATAAGTCGGAGTTGACCAATACCTATAGGGATGATTAGAAGACTAGGTCCCGATGTATGGTGACAATGAAAATAATCGTTTTGGGAGGGCATCGTTTTTGTTTTCATTAATGGAGAATTAAGTAGCCAAGGGTCATAACTCTGGCACTAGATTTTGATCTGTAGACATTTGGATATACTCAAATCAGTCTTATCTAAGGAAGGGGAATAATACCCAATTTAATCCCACAAACACATGACGATGATATTTGAACTCGTAGTTCCATCAGAATTCACTGGATTAAACCAATTTTTTACTGAGTTCAAAACCGAGAAATGGAGGCAGGGTAACAACAAGAACAACCAAGGACTTCTGTGCAAACCTCATCACCTATCACAAAAAGTCACAAGGAGCCAGAACAGAACACCTAAAACTCTTTTCTGGGATCAATCACCCCAGAAACAGCATCTTTGCAGCATGATTAAGCATGGTTTAACATGCATCACAACTCCATAAAAGAAATAACTTCATATGTTTATATAAATGCCAATTTGTTCCGGTCAATGAGCTGGCGTGGTTGTCTTCTTGAAATCAATCTTGTCTACCTTAACCTCCCCGTCGATCAGTTCATAAACGTAGACCACAACACGAAGGCCATCGATGTCCATGAGGACAAAGCTTGGGTTGACATCATAGGTGATGCTGCTATATGCACCTGTTGCAGATCCAGGGTTAATCACCACACCTCCCTCGTGTTTGTAAGCTGTAAATTGATGGGTATGACCAGTGACAAGGATGTCTACGTCTAGCTGCCTCTGCATCATGGCGAGTGAATCTAGGTCTCCCCATGGAATAACCTAGCCAGCCAGTAACAAATAGAATTCATGGACATGATGTGAACTACCACAAAGAGTAGGCAGAATTCTACAATGTTACACCACCTATTTGCTAATGTTGACTTCTGGCAGAAAATACTGTAGAGCAGAAGTTTTGTTTGAACTCAGTTGAAAAACAACTTTCTGTTCATGGTTACTAGAGACGATGAATCAGAAGTTGAAATATTCAGGCTCTTAAGTTTATGATTCTAGATACGGAAAGAAGAAAGCAGGAATGTGTTAGGAATGCAACTAGGAATGTTATAAGGGTATGTTACACATTAATTTGGGAGGTCGATATCGAGTTTGGTTATAAATAGAGGGAGTTAAGCATTTGGTGAGTGAATTAGGGCTTGGAAGGGATCTTGAATTACTTGTTTACACTTTAGTTTCTTGGTGTTTTCTTATGCGTTTGGAAACCTAACAGAATCTCAAGTCAATCCCATTAGTAATAGAAGGACTGTATCCGAACCATTCATAATGATCCCTCACAATGGTGAAAATCTAAATATAATTAATTGGCTAGTAACATGGATTTTGTTATTTGTTAAACAAAAAATACGGAATGATGATTATGAAAAAGTGCAACAAACCATACCTGATGCCCATGGCACAGACCCAACTTAAATTGTCCAATAGTCAGAGTTTTTGTCTCGGGATAGCGAGTCTCCTCATCATATTCACCCCGTGTAATGTGCAAATCAGGACAAATAGTTTTCAAGTAGTCGTGAACTTCCTGGAAACATCATTAGAAAACTTTGAATCATCAAACAATTTTTCTCCCAAGGAAATATAAACCAATTGAACAACAAAGCTCCACTTCTTGTACGAATAAATTAAACAAAATTATATGCAAGTTGGTGCTAAACAAAATGATCAAATCCCCAAAAGTCTGAACTCATATATGATGAACAGAGATCCAAATAGAGGCTAATGCTCACACAACGTGAACTTGATGTTTTCTATTAAATCATGAGATATATAGTACAAGCAAGTTTCCCTAAATAGGCTTCTGAATCCACAGT